CGTTGCAATGTCGTATTTCCCGTAGTTTTATTAATATAAATAAAATAAACAGAAAAATTGAAAATTGGCAGATAGAAATCGGAAGGAGTACTGTGGGTGTATGATAATTTGATTAATTGACGCACTAATTGCATAAGTAAACTTTCAGTATCAGTAAATATCATGATTACTTATGGAGTCTGAAAAACATCTCATTTAAAGGACGTTCTTGTCGATCGATAAACAACTGCATGAGGGATGTTCTGTCAAATCCTTGTTTATGAAATTCATAAATATTCATTTGCGTATATCTGTATAAATATATTGATTTACCCGTCCAAACAAAATGGGATGACTTTTCAGCTTTCTAGTTCACCGTTAATACTTTACACTTTGCATTAAAATCGTGGTTTTACAAAACCTACATAAATTTTCCTATCAATATTCCATAAGAGGAATGAATGTTAGATCTAATTCAATTTATTGTCCAAATTACATCAATTACAGTTGTGAATAATAACAATAAAATAAGAAAAGCATTTATTTATCCACAAAATATTTCTGAAATAAGTAGCATTCTTTGGAGCATAGTGAGTAAAGTAGTGTGGTTGAGGGACAAAAAAAATCAGACGAAGTTGTAAAATCCGAAGCCGGCCCTGGGCGTGAATTGTTAATGTAGAGAGAAACTGCGATAACAACTAAGCAACTACATCGATGAATGATGTAAAAAGTGACGGTTGTGGAAAAAAAAATTTAATAGGTATATTAATTTCCTCTGGATAGGTAATAGCAATTTTTTAAATTTCAAAACCACCATTGAGGTATTGACAATGCGCGTTACTTTTTTTTATGGGCAGTTTGCCAATAGTGCCACACTCCCAACAGAAAAACTTAATTACAACACCAGCAAACACACATATACGAACGTACTACAAAAACTATTTCTGAGTCGCGCATAACCGTCTGGCATTTGGTGTATTTCATTTGCAGCGATCATACAGGGTCGTGCGAATCATTAGCGTTCTGCACTGGCATTTGATGTACGCACTGTTTCATGTAACCCCAAATAAAGAAGTCAAACGGATTTAGATGTTAAAAAGATGTCTTTCTAGAAACTCACGCATTGGCCAATACTATATACTATTCTGCACTATCCCATGACACTGTCTACACGCATGGGTGCATACATACAAAATACAAGCCTAGAAAGAACTACCCTAGGCTGGCTGTAAACACACCTAATCTAACAAATAACAAACAATCCATCAGTACAAAAATATAAAGGAAGTACAACACAGATGCTGTTATGCAGCGTTGCAATGTCGTATTTCCCTGCGTGATCCTGCCAGGGCCGGACTGACCCTTGCATTAACTTATTAATACGTTTTTCTCGAAAACGGTAGACTTTCAGACTACAAAACATTTAACTACTTAATTTACTTGTTTTATAGTGCCCTTGTTACTTATTTTAGAAACACTTTGTATGTCTTTAGCATTGGCTACTGAACAACAGAATAGCAATTAATAAGGAGAACGTTTCTTAATATATTTAATTAAATAAATGCGTAGACGACCCTGATTAATCGTATTCCACAGTGGTGATTCAATAACCGAGAAATTCGTTTACCTCCAGCAAGTAATTAATTGTACGCGCATACATAAGGAATGTAGTAGTGGATAATAAACAGGCTGAAAGCCAAAGGATAATTACTTTTCCTTGCCTCTTCCCGTTCACAAATGTGTTTGCTATAATCCCCTTCCCCGGTGAATTCAACTATGTGTTCATTCTGGCGTTGAAAATCACATATTAAGTTTAATTTCAGTAAATCTCAGTTACATAAAATAATACAATCACAAGTGCAGAGAGAATTTCTTTAAACAAAACTGATCGTATGAATTAACAATTAATATTAGTGATAATACATTATCGATTAATTATTATCGTTTTGGGTAAAAGATGTCTCCACGCAAAATCATTAGAGTGTTAACTTTTGATGAAAAAGTTGAAAAACGTAAATTACTAATGAACATCGCTTTTCCACGACCTGATTTTGTTTGAATGCTAACATGAGTCTTCTCTTTTTTTTCAGAAAATGAAAATGGTTCGATGTTAGCCTCAATAAATGAAAAAGCCATTCCAATAAAAGAATTTCCCAAGTTTGTGGATCAACGGCGGAAATTTCCGGTCCTTTTCAAGCTAGAATTTCAGGTACAGATAGCGGTGGACTTTATCGCATACATATTCATAAAACCATGTTTCTCAAAATGTTTCTTGAAAGAAATCAGGAATCAGAAAATAACCCTGGACCACTGTTTTTTCTTCTAAATCAGATCGCTAACAAGAAACAAAAGAAAATGCTTCACAACGGCAGATAAACCAATTTGGCCTTTTTTTATTTGATTGCGTGTCTCTTAATTTGTTAGGAAAGAATAATCGAAAACAACCAAAAATTTTCCAAGGTTTTCATTGCGGAAAAGAAATTCGTCGGTGTTCTTTTTTGTTTCAATATCAAAAGTAGAAAAGTTGTTTCTTTAGATCATCTAACATTAATTACTACAAATGATTTATTAGTTCATCAGAAATTCCATTGATTTACAAACTAAAGTAATTCTTCAATTGATGCTAACATTTACTAATTAGAAGGAAATGTCTGTAGTTTTATTAATATAAATAAAATAAACAGAAAAATTGAAAATTGGCAGATAGAAATCGGAAGGAGTACTGTGGGTGTATGATAATTTGATTAATTGACGCACTAATTGCATAAGTAAACTTTCAGTATCAGTAAATATCATGATTACTTATGGAGTCTGAAAAACATCTCATTTAAAGGACGTTCTTGTCGATCGATAAACAACTGCATGAGGGATGTTCTGTCAAATCCTTGTTTATGAAATTCATAAATATTCATTTGCGTATATCTGTATAAATATATTGATTTACCCGTCCAAACAAAATGGGATGACTTTTCAGCTTTCTAGTTCACCGTTAATACTTTACACTTTGCATTAAAATCGTGGTTTTACAAAACCTACATAAATTTTCCTATCAATATTCCATAAGAGGAATGAATGTTAGATCTAATTCAATTTATTGTCCAAATTACATCAATTACAGTTGTGAATAATAACAATAAAATAAGAAAAGCATTTATTTATCCACAAAANCATCACAAAAATTCTCTTTCCTTGTTCCAACAACTTTTTGAATCATATTGAACTAGACTGGAAATCAATCAGCTGCATTTCAGATTCTTCAATTTATTTTATCAAATGTCACATCAGGGTACATAATAAACTTTCGTATTAGTATTTCCGATAATTCTCTGAAGTGAGAAAATCTTGCTGAAAATTCCTTGATTAAAGAATCAATCACAGAAACATTAGTGACGTGCCCGAAATATTGTGTCGCGTGCTACCAATGGCACGCGTGCCATTGGTTCGCCATCCCTGGTCTAGACCATTGCTTAGCATTCGGGAGGACGCTGGTTCGATTCCGGAACCGTCTGCCTTGGTCCAAGTTTTTCTATGGTTTCCTTGAATCACTTAGACAAATGCTGAGGCAGTAATATTCCACAGATAATCTTTCATTCTCTTCTGTCTTCATTTCGTCCGCCTCATCTTTCTCACCTGAACCACTACCCACCCATTCCCACGATTCCTGAAAGCAGGCTGAAGAGGGCCTTCCGCCCTACCTTCCGGCATAGTCCGGAGGGACTGCCCGCCCACCAAGATTACCAGCTGGTGGGAATGAAACACTCAAAAGAAAGAGAAAATCCTTTTCGACCGAGCGGCATGGCCTTGAGGTTTAGACCATTGCTTAGCATTCGGGAGGATGCCGGTTCGATTCCGGGTCCGTCTGCCTTGGTCCAAGTTTTTCTATGGTTTCCTTGGATCACTTAGACAAATGCTGAGGCAGTAATATTCCACAGATAATTTTTCACTCTCTTCTGTCTTCATTTCGTCCGTCTCATCTTTCTCACCCGAACCACCGCCCACCCATTCCCACGATTCCTGAAAGCAGGCTGAAGAGGGCCTTCCGCCCTACCTTCCGGCATAGTCCGGAGGGACTGCCCGCCCACCAGCATTACTAGCTGGTGGGAATGAAACACCCAAAAGATTTTTTTTTTTAGTTCTTTCCTATCTACTCTCCGGTTTTGCACCACAGTGTAAGTCTTATTAGGCACCGCCTTTTCATCGGGGTAAAAGTTTTCAATTTTAAGTACGTAACGAACATTATTACCCTGAAGATGCTACAGTCGAATACAGAAAGCAATGAAATTCGTATGTGTCAAAGTTCAATAAAAAGATTAAAACTTCTGGAAAATTATTTTATACCTTTGTCGGTTTTCTCTTTTAAGTGAAAGTGTATTTAGGATGAAACGAGAAATTGTTTATCTAATGTCTTAAACGTCGGAGACAAGATGTAATAGGAAATCGGAGGGAAGAAAATTGCCGAAGACCTTGGAGTAATTTTAAAAGGAAGGCGAAAAACACCTTTGACGGGGCAACCTGCCCAAATGCGCTCCTGAAAATCGATATTTCCTTTGTAATGGAAATTACGAAGCGCTCTCGAACAAGTGATTATACATAATTGACAGCAATTATTTTCTTCGAATAAAGAACACTCCATTGGGTAATCCAAGCTGTTAGCGATTTCGAAAAGTCTTACTCAGCAATTTACGATCTTGCTCAATAAAAAAACAACAAAACCTGTCAAATGGGGCAAACCCTTCTAATGTTAAACCAGTTTCTACTTCTTCACATCTTGATGTATTGCACCGACAAAAATCAAAGTCAAAGGAAACAATATTTTTTTGCATTAGCAATACAGAAACCAATATTCTGCCACAAGGCCACAAAGGATCTAGTAAAGTCTTGAACTAACAAGCAATGCAGTACGTACTTATTATAGGGTTGTTCGGAAAGTCATTTCGTTTTTTTTTGTGGAAATGAAAGACAGTTTCCGTATAATAAACAAATACTTTATTAAATTATATATTGACCGTTCTGGTCCAACACCTTTTGCCATCTTTCTGGTAGTAGCATAATTCCACGCTCATAAAATTTTTGGTCTTTGCTGGCAAAAAACTGATCGAGGAGGTTTTTGACCTCCTCATTTGAGGTGAAGGTTTTACCGTCTAAAAAATTTTGGAGTGACCGGAACAAATAATAATCCGATGGTGCCAGGTCTGGAGAATATGGTGGGTGTAGCATTGTATCCCATTCAAGCTGTAAAAGCTTTTGGCGAGTGACCAAACTTGTGTGAGGTCTCGCGTTGTCTTGGTGAAACACTACACCTTTCCTGTTGATTAGTTCTGACCTTTTCTGTTGAAGTGCATCATTCAGTTTGTCCAGCTGATGACAGTAGACTTCCGAATTAATCGTTGTGTTATCCGGTAAAAGCTAAAAAAAAACGATTCCTTTAAAATCCCACCAAACAGACAGCATCACCTTTTTTTGGTGAATATCGGCTTTGGAAATGGTTTGAGCCGGTTCATCTTTTTTGCTCCATGACCTCTTGCGTTTGACGTTGTTGTATACAACCCATTTTTCGTCCCCAGTGATGATGCGCTTCAAAAACGGATCATTTTCGTGACGTTTGAGAAGCGAATCGCAGACGTCAATGCGGCGACACAGATTTCTCTCTGTGAGAACATGGGGAACCCATACATCGAGCTTCGAGGATAATCCCAGGCCTTTCAAGTGGTCATAAACTGTTGAATTTGATAAATTTAACCTCAATCCGATCTCACGTGTTGTTATTCGCCGGTTCACATCAACTAATGCCTTTATCGCGTCTTTATCAGCTTCAACCGGCCTTCCCGAACGTGGTGCATCTTCGACATCAAAATTGCCGGATCGAAATTTAGCGAACCAGTTCTGGCACTGGCGTACTGTCAACACACCTTCTCCATACACATCAGTCAATTTCTTTCTGGCTTGAACAGCATTTTTACCCTTTCTGTAGTAAAACAGTAAGATATGTCGAAAATGCTGCTTATCGCTCTCCATATTTAAAAGGGCACCAACCAAAAACTACTGCGTAGAATTAATTGGAATTTTTCACACACAAGCCTTGCTATATGAGCTCTCAAAGCATATAAAAATTATACGGCTTAAATGTGAAGTTGGGTGCAAAAGAATACAATTAAATCATCTGTCGGGAATAAACGAAATGACTTTCCGAACAACCCGATAGATTGCTAATAAGTGAGCAGGTTTTAATAGCCAGACAGTTGCTTTTTGATTCTAAGCTATATTGATTCCTTGAAAAAGCCTTGCACCATATGACTAAATGTTGGTTTACTAATTGCTGTAACAAAATGTATTTTTTTACCCCCTGACTAACAATTTTCACTGTATTAAACGGCAGTTGACAAATTACGTAAATTAGAGAGAATTATGTGAAAAGATAGCATCAACTGGATCGATATACCTAGTTGCCTTGAACTATTCAAGAAACAAAAAAAAAGAAAGTCCTTATCATTAGATTGAAAATCGTGAGGCATTATGAGTGCTTCAATATCATTACAAGGAATTTTAATTAAATAATTAAACATGACCGATCTTTAGACGTTTCACTTTGATTTCCGTCACGCAATTTCAAATCGGTTTCAATTCAGGACAGAATTTCAAATGAATTTCAAATTTACGACTTCGCAATGGTTCTTGAAACGTACTATCGCCTTTAATGGCATAATTATTACCCGATGGTCGCCAGTAATTAACAGAATATACAATAATTGACGTGAACAACACGAACAGTAATCGAATTACTGAAACATCGGAATTGAATAGGACGAAGTGACTTTGGAGGATTCTAATAATTATCCACACTATGTATGATAAGACACGTCACCAGCAACTGTGGTGTCATATGACTATTACAAGGGTTAAACATTTGAAATTGATGACCTACCCTCTGTCTAATGGACTTGTATATGTACAATGTACACAGATATTATTACGTAAATGTTCAGGAAGTTTAATCCCACGTGGATATCAAACCCTAATGGATAAACCATTGGGAATAGCATGAGACTTTAAATTTGACAAGAATGTTTCTTAATTTGAAATCATCTTTTCGATTTATTATTTACCCATTACAAACTACTTCAAATTAATGAGGGAAAAATTGTTGCTGTTGTCAAACCCCCGCCGGGAATCGAACCCCGGACCTTTGGCTTTACGCACCAATGTTCTACCACTAAACGTCGGGGGTGTGACAACAATTTTTGTCTCATTAATTTGAAGTAATTTGTAGTGGGTAAATAAAAATCGAAAAAATGATTTTAAATTAATATTGCATATTAATCCACTATTAAGTCATAGGATTTCATATATTTAGGAATGTTTCTTTTGGGTTTAATAAAATAGATTTGTTACTTTTAAACGACTTAGCTCGGAAAAAACATTTGATTTATAGTTGTTCTACTTATTTCGGATAAACTCGTTTTAGCTAGACCATACTGGTTTATCCGAAGAGGAATGGGTCTAGTATAAACTAATTATTCCTAGATTTATCACCGGTGATATCCGAATTCATGGTAAAATACTTTTGCCTAAGCCAAACCGAATTTTAAATTTCAAATCAGGGCAACCGTGGACTAGACCAAACTGGCTTATCTTCCAACTCTAGGCAAAACCATAAGTTTTTTATAAAATCATTACAATTGTAAGTAGCTAAATATTAACTGAAAAGAGAATGGTGTATAAAAGAAATATAAATCCCTTTTGTAGTAATATTTCTACAAAATAATTCTTTGTTAAAAAATAAGGTCAAACCGGTGTAAATATTCAAGCAAATAAATCTTCACGAAGCAAAATTCCCGGAGAAAGGGCTGAAAGGCTTTTAAGATTATTGAGTTGTTGTTGTTGTTGACATGCGGCGGCTTATTTGTTTTTCAAGGTTTTTAAATAAAATTCTTCGTAATTTATCCAGCGAATAAAGGACTGTTGTGGTTCATGCTGATGATGTATACATATACAGAGTGTTTCTGAAAGAGGTAGTAAGTTTCGGAGCGAGTTAAGTAGATGCAAAAGGGAATCGCATGCTGAGTAAAGTAGCATGGTTAAGGGACAAATATATTTGTAAGAAAACGACGAAAGTTGCAACTCGAAGTCCGGTCCTGGGCGTGAATTGACAACGTATAGAGCAGGGATGAGCAACACGCGGCCCGCTTGCAGCCCGTTATATATGTTTATGCGGCCCGCCAGGCATTTCTAAAATTGAATTTATTTTATCAACTTTCAAATGGAAGTGATTGACATGCAGAAAAAACCGATTTAAAAAATGTATTTTTCTCAGCAAACATCAAAATTTTTTATAAATCGTATGTGAACCCTGAGAAATTTCCGCTTTTGACGAAAAATACGTGTAGGTAGCTCATCAATTCCGGTTGATATTGATAAACTTGTATCGAAAAAACAGTGCCGAATTTCTCATTAAAAATTTCAAGACAATTCGTTTTATTGTTCTTTTCTTGTTTGTATTTATTTTGCATTAAAATTTGTATATTTAATCTTTACTTTTTTTTTTAATTTTATATTTTTTTATTCTAATGTTTATTATAAATAAAGTTTTGTNGTTACTTTTTGTGCGGCCCGCCAAAAAAATTTAAAATTTATTGATTAAAAAGGTTACTCACCCCTGGTATAGAGAAACTTGCGATAACAATTAAGCAACTTACATCGATGAAAAATGTAAATAGTGACGGTTGTGGAACGACTAATTAAATATCAACTGTTAATTAAATTAAATACATAACTATATTTGATAGTCGCTGATAGTATGCAGTACTATTACGTATTATTCCTTCTTGTGCCTTCAATACTGATTTAAATTGAAAATAAGTCGTAAGAAGATCGAGAAAAATATCTTATTATTCCCTTCGGTTTCAGGTTGCCATAAAAGTGGAGCAGCATTCTTGCAGGCATGCGTCCAAAAAGGCAAATCTAAAGAAGAATCAAAACCAAAGATGCATTCCTTGTAAGTATTGATTTTACGTCAGTAAAATCGCTTTTCAGATGCACTACTTTTGCATTAAATTTATTGGATGAAAGAACTTTTCGCATTTCCCGACTCAAACTAATCCCAAATCCCATTCGCAAGTTGGGGTGTACTTTTCAAGTTAGATAGCACTTAGTTTACTCCAGTTACGTAAAATTCTATTCGCGTTACAATTTAGAAAATCATGAAAATTAACAATGAATGTGCGGTTTTGAAAACAAAAGATACCTAGTATATATTGTTGCAAATAATATATAAAATTGTATTGATTATTGGGCAAACTTTATACTGATTGTGACCTGGGGCTCGTAGTTACAGAATCTAATTTAAGATGAAATTGTGTATAGCACAAATGGTTAATTTATTAAGTTATATTTAGATATTTAATTCATTTATCCTTCTTTAAAAATAACCGAAAATTAAACTGTATTTGTGTATTTTAACTTAAAAGAAATATTTCATAAACAGATTGATTTTACTCTTTTCTTTGGCTTTTGGCTTATTTTAGCCGGACATCAAAGGACTCTGTTTTGAAAATAAAGATTTATTGCTTCACTTAAATAACTAAAAACTTCAAGGGCAGACTCTACGCATGAGCTTTCAATATTAAAATTTAAAAAAAGTAAAAATTCACAGTAGCAAAAGAAGTCCGATCAAAAGCCATATCAATTCACTAATTAATAATCAAATTACTGTATTTCTTAATGGTCCAACCATCTTAAAGTTTCCTGTCTCCTTCTGCATCAACATTATGAAAAACATATTCATCTTTTCCCAGTTTCTATTCCCAAAACCAAAATTCTGCTTTGATTCAACTTTACCCTCTACAAATTTCGAACTGAAATTCCTTGTGCTTTCTTCTTTCAGATGACTACAACCGGGTAGTTTTAGAGAAAGTTGGTGACGAAAATGATTCCGATTACATAAACGCTTCGTACGTTGACGTAAGTATAACTACATATGTGTAAAATTTACGTACTAACTGAAATAGATGCACACATGCAACAACTATCGTTAACGTGTATTATAGAATGCTGTGCGCATTTTTGGCAACACTTCAAGAATTTGATTTTGCTTAACTATATAACTAAACAAACAGCACACCGGTCATCGCAATATGGGGATGCTTCACGTAATTAACTTTCGTTTTTGTTTCATTTTAAAACAATTTCTGTTCATACTTAATCTTAGTCGTTTTATGAAAGAAAAGGTAAATTAATATAATTTTATATGTTTATCTTTGTAAAGGATAATTAATATAATAAAAAACGATATTCCTGGATTAGGATTTTACGAAGTTGTTGCTAATAAAATCCTTGAATCAGGTGAAAATTAGTTTAAATTGAGAAAAGCACAGCGATATCTTTGAAATCACTTTCAAAAGCGATTAGGCATTTGAAATTTGGGGACTGTAGGAGTGCACTAAGGAGTGTTTTCTTTTTTTAATTCTATCCCCAAGGGGATAACAAGCTGTGATAAAATTTGTTTGGAGAAACGTTAATTAGTTTTTGAAAGTACGCACGGAGGAAGAAGGAGAGAGGTCGAAGGGTCGAAATGACCTTGTAGAATACTAAGCAATCGTAGGTAGGTGGGGCCAACACGTGGACGTCCAAGGAGTGTAGATGAAAATCGCAAATGTTAATAGATGAAAAAGTCTTGTATATATAATCGATGCAACTATCTCATCTTGTAATACAATACTTTGAAACCAGCTGACTACTAAAACGTCTAAATAAAAGATAGGATTTCTTAGGCATTCCTCCAATAATATCCAGGATACTGCTGTTTTTTCGATCAGAATTTTTATGTAATCGAAATGAAACTAAACAATTGCAATAATGCGGATGGATTTAAATGTCTATATTCGCTACTCACTTTGGGTGGTACTCAAAAGTTTTTCACGAGTACACGAATGCATCAGCGACAACAAATGACGTAGAAGTTGTTTTCTTAACATCACAGTTGTCAAAAATTACTTTCCAACAACGGAATTCGCTTCCCAAAACTTATTAATGACAATTTCGGTTGGAGTCGAAAAATGACAAAAAAGTAGCGACTTAAAACCGACGGGATAGCTCGAGAAATAATTGAGTTTACCAAGCCAAACGAACGCAGCGAAAATAAAAATGAAGAAAACATTCATTAAAAAAGCGAACGTAGTTGTAAATTTCATTATTTCACTTAATTCCCAAAAGAAAAGAACAAAAAACGTTAGACTGGAAAAGTTTATTCCATAATAAAAAGTGTTCTTGAAGTGTTTATTAACTCTAAATAATATTGGGATATTTTTCTGGCTAAGATTTTTATCAACTAATCGCGATTCGTTAATGTTTTCCCATAGATGATGTTTATATACTTTGATTAATGCTGGATTGTCTACTGTTATGATTATCTATTTTTTAGTAAAAAAAAAGGATTCAGTGTCACGCGCAACGGCATATTTTATTATCTTATAATAAATATTTAGTTTACTGGAACTTTAACGTCACATTCTAATTTTAAAACGTACCTATATTCGTGTACATTTAGGGATTGCGTGAAACTGTCAAGGATGCCCATTAAAAAGAAAACGTAGCCCGATTTTCATCTGCGATTAAAGTTTAAAAATAGTGTTTACCATATACTTTCTAAATTTACTAAACAGATATTATGCTTTTCACTGTCAATATACGGATTGATGTCAAGGAACAAGGCTGACTAAATTTATACATAGATTTAAGCGAATTTATAGTCAAAAACGACGTAATTCCGGGTTTGTTTTATTTGGGAGTTTTTTAAAAAAGAAAAATACTTATACAAGTTCAATACAATTGGCCAATTGGGACATTACATCACGTTAGAAGAAATATTACTTCTGCTATCATATTGAGACGCTAGAATCAGTTTTATTGGTGTATGGCTAGATGTAGAAGCCACAAATTGTGATCAACAAATATTCACTTACTATTAGAAAGAGTTCTATTTAAAGAATTCAATAAATATATTACACATTTATTGATCCGATATTCATTCTTCATCGCTGTCGTTATCGATAAAGTGTATCAAATATAAATCAAAATTTGATAAATGTTGTGATGAATCCCCAAAAAAAATGAACAAATGTGTCTTTGGAGTTTTCAACACCAAAAAGTTATATTCATTTTTGGTTCTTGGCGTGTTCAATATTAAAATAATAAAATCTGATNAAAAGCTGTTGTTTAACACCCTTCCTGCATTTTGGCCAGGGGTATGTTGTAAAAACTATGAAAAAACCTGACATTTCTCTGTCCAATCCGCACTATTTCGAATCGTATCGATATCTATCCCTGATCAAAAAACTGCTGAAGTAAACTAAAACTGTCTTTACCCCTCTGTCTATAGTTTGAGTAGAGGCCGGATGATATAACCTCTTATGAGTTATGATTAATAAATTACAGTTAGTGGTTGTTCTTTTTCCTTATTGTAGTAGTGTGAATGGCACATATAGTTCTGGTTTCCCTTGTAAAAGGGGGAACGCCAAGTAGGGCTGTTTTCTTCTAAGGCCAGAAGTGTTTATTCTTGCTGGAATTGTTTCGAGTTCTTCGGTAGCTTGAAAAATATTATCTAGATATACATTGAAATTGTTTTCAATTGTTGACCTGATGTTAGCAAAAGCAAGGTAACTAATTTTTCAGAGAGGCATTGAAGTGATAAGAAGTGTAGGGGAGGAGTAAATCGCCCAGAGAAACAAGACAGGCTATGGATCTTAAGTTGCTGCAAATGTAGGTGTAGTTGGGTTTTATACTATATACTCCTACAGAAACGTTTCAAAATAGTTTCCTCCTTAGGCCTAATGGAAAATAAGAGGGATAAGGCCGACCTGTACGAATTAAGTGATGAGTATGAAAGGTTTTTGTTAACATTATCCTGCAGAAAAATTAACGAAGTGTGTAAGGTATACTGATATGGATTATGTTTTGTTTCTATACAAAATTTCCACCATTTCTTATAACAAATGGTATACTGCTTTAAGGTTTTTCTGAGATGGATGACTTCTTCACTTTTTGTTTCATCGCGATGCTGATAACTTCCTCGTTACCAGCGAAAGCGTCCTGGTGATGGGATGTCTCTCTCTCAAAGGAGTATGAGTAGATTATCATCGGAAGTGAAAATAATGGATTCGGCTATAAGTAATTCCTTAAAGAGCAGGTACCCTGATTGTGTTGACCAATTTGTTACTATTAATACACCTGTTGCTCTAAGCGGATCTGTTGTATGCCTTTATCAATGATAAGGAAGGGTGGGAAGGCATAGAAAAACCTATTTTGGCAATTTAACGTAAATGCGTCAATAAAAGCAGAATTGGGGTTTGGCCCCGCCTGAAACAGATTTTTTGCATTAAATTTTGAAGCAAATAATTCAATATCTGGAGTGCCAAAGGTCATTATAATTTTTTCAATGGTCCCGTTGTCTAATTCGTATTTCCATTTTATTATATTTATTTCTGGATAATAGGTCTACTTCTATGTTATCCCTGGTGTTTATATCAGTGCTTAGTAAAATATCGCAGTTTCGTTCGTGTTTAGCAAAACATTTTAGGGCGTAAACAAAAAATAACGCACTTAATTCTAGCGAATTAATATGGTGAGAACCTTCAACCTTCAACCCGTATCTGACGCATCCGAGAAAATTTCTAAACAAAACGATCTTTGCTTTTGTTCTTTTGTTGCACAATTTATATTTTCTAGCCACCAGTTAATTCCCTGAGTAAAAATTTTTATGTGTAATCATGCATATTTTAAGGTCGGTGCTACTGCGACAAGGTTTCCTATGAACGATGCGAATTTTCTAATTGTGCATCTTTGTAGTTTATAAAATTTAATAAATCTTAATTTCTTGTACTTTTTGTTGGGTCAGGCCCAAGATCATTTCCTTTGTACTGAAGATAAATCCCGAATATTCTAAAACCTGAGTAGGAATTAGGCTACTTTTATCTCCATTTATAACAAAACCTAATCTTGTTAAAAGGCTCTGCGTAAATCTAACAACTTGCTAACATTCATCAAAATTATTACCCATTATAAAGAAATCATGAAGGTAAATTATGATTTTAAAACCCTGCTGTCGCAAATATTTTGCAACCGGTTTTTAGAGCTCTGTGAACACTAATGGGGCAATGTTTAAGTCAAATGACAGACAGTTAAATTCATATAATTTTTCGCAGATGGAGAATGTTAAGTATATACTATATCGCTTACGTATTGGTATAAGAAAGTAAGCATGTTTAGGGTCTACTTTTGCTAAGAAACAATCCTGAGAAACCAATCTAATGGCATTGTGATAAATGTTCTAGCTTAAAATGTTGATTTTTAATATATAACCATTTACTTCCATGACATTAAGAATAAACTTATATTAGTTCATTTTCTTTTTTTTTTTTTTTTTTTTTTTCATTNTTTTTTTTTTTTTTTTTTTTTTTTTTTTGACTAAAAACTAAGTAGATAGAAAATGTCCCCTGCTGTAGTGGCTTTCTGATATGTCACCTTTTCTAAGCTACTCCCTAATTTCGTCAGTATAGGCCCGTAAATTTGGACTGTTAAAAATTTTTGTTGCTTAGGTTTTAAGTGGAGTGGTAAATTTAACCCATCCAGCCAATAAGGAACCTCTGAATTTATTTCAAACCAAGCATTTTTCAATAATGTTAAACGGCCTACAAGAAGCGTAATTACCTCTACTTACGATCAATCTTCCGACCACTATTGCGTGGACGGTACGTTTCCCCCCTTTCTTTTCTTGATCTGATCTATGCATTGTCTCTTCCATTGCTTCGGTTTTAGATGTTTTTGCTTTATCTTCCGCCTGTGCTTCCGATACGGGCGCCCAGAGTTTAAGATCTACTCGATGGCCCCGCCCGAGAGAGGTCTGGGTGAACAGCTCTTTGGATTTGTTCTACTTTCCTCATTTTCTGACGAGTTTTTACTTTAAAAGGAAAACCTCTCCCAACAAGTGGTTATCAATCGGTTTTTGTGCTGCCGCTGCTCTCGAATCTTCATTAATATACGGGTTTATTTGGAATTTCCCTTCTTGAAGATAATGCCTTGTGTATTCCGGGCATAATTTGGGTTGCGTCAATAAGTTTCTCG